TATGCATTTCACCTGAGTTAAAAATCTGCAGAGAGCTGATCATCCCTAGCAGGAGGCCACCTAAAGGGTGGCAAGGACAGAAATTTGTCCTCCCAGAGTGCTCAGCTCTGACAATGTGAGAACTCAACAAATGAAAGAAAAGGACAAAAAAAATCCTTTCTCTTAATCAAACTATTTAACCCTCGGTTTTGATATATAAAATGTCCTTAAGGGACTGCTACCTTGACCTTAGTTTAATGCACATTAAAGAGATTGTTCATTATTCTTTCTGGGTTCATCTACATATTTGTCAAGAGAGCTACATTTGACATGAATAGAGATGGTTCAACAGATGGCCACACAATTTGAAATTGGGAAGCACCCTTCTAATCCAATCCCTTTATTCTACAGAGAAGTGAGGTGACTTGCATAGAAAAGTGGACTCTTTGCTCAAATCAATAATCATAAAGCCATCCCTACATGACCTTAGTGCTCTTGCTACGAACCAGCCAGCTCCGCACACCTCTCGCTGATGTGAGAAGAAAGATTCCCTGTTCTAAGGGGCAATCTACTGACAACCTCAAACCTCTGCTTGGCCCCAGGACAAAAACTCTCCTATATGAAATCAGCCTTATAAAATAACAACTTCCTCATCTATCTGACGTAGAGCTGCTCGTGTTTTCAGAGATATGGCAGACACTGACTATACAACTTCCACTGTCCCTTCCACAGTGCACTCACAAACTAGGAAGATTTGTCTTCTGCTGTCTCAACTCACCTTCCCCCATCTTGCTCTCCCTCTTAGTAACCAGGTGCTGGTATTAGTTTCCACAGCCAAGTATTTGCATTTTAAGTTAACTGTGATATTAAAGGCACTTCCTCATATCTTAGCACGTGTGGGGCATTGGGAAGCAACTAAAAAGATGTTGTTATTATAGAGATCCTCTAGGCCCACCTGACCCCTGCCAATAACGGTAAAATAAGTAGATGTTATGGGAATGGCAGAGAAAGGTAAAGACAGATAAAAGAATACGTGCATGGATGATATCCCTCCTTCAAAGATCTGCTCATCCCAGGCCCTCTCCTGGTCAGATTAACAGAGGCTTCATCCAGGCCTAGCCTGCTGGACCTAGATTGAAAAATTCTGACTCTTTACATAGTCTTTAGGGAAGGCTCACTCAATAGGCCTCTTCTTCCCCCACATCTGCCCCTTCTCACTTCGCTCCAAGTCTCTCTGATGATTATTACAAATCTTAACCCCTTTGCAATCTTAAGAAACACGGAGCTCTATATCCTATATAATTTCTCCCTCTGATTGTGAAGTTTCTGATGAATATGTGTTAGCTCACATCTTTTAGCTTATAAAAATATTGATAATGAATTGCCTTGGGAATGAATGTGCTCCTTGTCATTTTTATAGAACTTTGTTAAGATGATTTGAACTTGGGCTAAGTAATGGCATACGAAGGGTCCCTTCTGGACTTCCATTAGAAATAATGATATTCTTTAAAAAATAGTATTTTTTAATTTTTATTTATTTATTTATTTGTTTGTTTGTTTGTTTTTGCAGAACATTTAACAGATTGCAGATTATTTTTCAGGTACATTTTCTCACTTGATCTCATTTACCCTGTGAAATCGGCAGGGCAGATATTATGATCCCAGGGGCAGGTGAGGTCATCCGTTGAAAGTCATATAGATAAAAGAAGCTAACTTGTTTCGCTTTCCAGGGGGTGACCTTTCCACTGCGCTCTGCTGCTTAAAAAAGAAATGAACCCTGCACTGAAAACAACTGATAACACACTGATCAAGCTGTTTTCCTCCACTGTGAGGAAGAGGGTATGAATTCTTCACTTCTGTCTGACTATAGTGTAAATTTCCTAGCAAAAAGGGCAATTCACACAGGCAGCATATGTCATTTTAGAATCACAAACTCTTATGGGGCTCACAGGAATCTCCTCTCCCCCCTGCACTCCCACACATTCCACTCCAGGACAAGTGCAAAACACAGTAACGAAAAGAGTACTAATAAAGTAGACTGTGTATTTATCTTTTTAGATTGTTAAGCCATAAAATCAGTTTATATTTTTATACAGATATTCATATGTGGCTATAAACTCAAACGTTTTTCAGTTACATTCATGTTTACAAACAATGTAAACATCCTTGTTCTTATAATTATCTTGATTGATTAGTGAATATTATCTTAGTCATTGCAATGGTATAAAAATTCCAGACCCAGACATTATTTATATATATATTTTTTATCATACTACAAACTTGTTTTAAATTTTGGTTTACAACTTTATAAAACCAAGTGTTAGCAGCAATTTTATCTCATAATCACAATCATAAAATAATCATAGAAGCCAAAGTTACCAATATTTGTTCAAAGTATCATGAGAAAGTTTCTGGAAACAAAGTAGAAGTATGCCAGCACTGTGGAAATCAATGGAAGCTGAAGTGATAAGGATTAAGAGAGAATTTGCTTATTTTGAATGGTCTTTTACTGATAAGGGCCTACAATTTAGTATATTTGAATAAGTGATGATGACCTGATTTTACAAACACAGATTATTTAAGCAGAAAGTAGACAGAAATCTGTCATCTGAGAAATTTAGAACTTTTAGAATTTGGGGTAGAGGCGGTTAAAAAGAGAACAAAGCTATGCATTTTTTTTTTTTTCTGAGTGTGATTTTTTAATCTTCAAGGCTTTTTCTTTACAATATGGAAAGTTGTGTGTGTGTGTGTGTGTGTGTGTGTGTGTGTGTGTGTGTGTGTGTGTGTGTGTTTCAATAAATCTTTATTGATTTCAGAGAGGAAGGAAGAGGGAAAAAGATAGAAACATCATTGATAAGAGAGAATCATTGATTGGCTGCCTCCCCTACTGGGGATCAAGCCCACTACCCGGGCATGTGCTCTTGACCAGAATTGAACCTGGGACCCTTCAGTGGCAAATCAACTAGGGCTACAATATGGAATTTTTTTTTTTTTAAAACAAACTTCCCATTCTTTCCTATCTTTCTTAGAATGTGAACTCAAAAGATCAAGACTTGCTATTGTCTGTTGTTGTATTGCTGTTGTTGTTATTCCTCACCAGAGGACACTTTTTAAATTTACGAGAGAGAGAGAGAGAGAGAGAGAGAGAGAGAGAGAGAGAGAGAGAATTAATGTGGGAGAGTCACATCAATTGGTTGCTTCCTGCAAGAGCCCTGACTGTGCAGAGGATTGAACCTGCAACCCAGGTATGTGCCCTTAATGGGGAATGAATTTCTGACCCTTCCTAGCATGGGAGAGGACACTCTAACCACATAGCCATATCAGCCAGGGTGCTACTGTATGTTCCTTTATCCCAACTTGAATTTTTATAAATCATGAGATTTTTTTTTAAATGCTGACATTTAATGAGTAAAAAATTCAATGAATTCATGGTTTCAATTCAATAGGATAAGCATTTACTAAATCTCCATTCAGCACAAGGCATTGGACCAACTGCTAGGGAGACAGTGAGGGAGTATTGATGCTCCCTGAAATGATTAGAAGGTAGGCCTTGCCCAAAGGCCCCAAGCCTCAGCGATTCATCCCTTTACAAAAGAAATGTTAAAGGCTTATTGAAATTTTTTAACAAAATGTACTTTCTGTGATGCATATACCAGAGTGACAAATGTTCACCTTTCTCCCACGGTTTAAAGAGCAAATTCCTCATCACAGACTTTCCAATGCCCATTGACTTCATCAGAAAAGACTTTTAAGTACTGAGAAGCTGTCAAGCTCATGGCAGTGGATACATGTTTTCTAAACTTATAATTCTAACTTGAAGGCTCAAAAATTACCATTGACAATACTTGCCTCTTGTTTTCCTGGAAGTAGCAAGTACAGGTTATTTTTGAAAAACGTCTGTCAAATACCTGTCTGAATAACCATAGGTTGTCCATCGTTCTTTCAAGACAAAAACATGTTCAATGAAAATAAAAGTAAAAACACTAGTTCAGCCTACAATTCAAGCATGGAAGTGTTTTCCTGGAAATAAATGTGGCACTTTGGTATTCAGCACACATGCTTTATGCATACTTCCTGTTTTATCACATGGAATTTAAAAAAATGTACCAAAGGGTTGAACTTTAATAGATTTAATAATGTTTATATACTATTAACTATATTCCCTGTGCTGTACATTACATCTCCATGACTTAGTTTTTATTGTTGACACTATTACAGATGTCCTCCATTTCTCCCCTTTTTACCCCTCTCCACCCAGCCCCCACTCCACCCAGGCCTTCATGGCATTGTTGTCTGTGTCTAGGGATTATGCATATAAATTCTTTAGCTAATTTCTCCCAGTCCCCCCTCCCCTCTCCCCTCTAAGATTATTTTTACTGCTTTATCAAGACCTCTTTCAAGTGACACTGGCTTTCACAGTTTGGTGCCTCTGCTTTGGTTCACGATGAGACAGACACCTGAACTTTTACCCACCATTTTTGCACCATTGGTGCAAATGTCAATACAGAGAAAGAGTCAAATAAGCCTTAGCATTGTCATCAAAACTATTTTAACTTGGCAGATCCCTTGAAAGGGTCTCACAAACCTCCAGGGGGCTCTGGACCACACTAAAAACTGGGTGTCTGAGCAGACAGAAATCACAATTCTTTCCGTTTATTTAATGCTTGAGGCTTATTTATTATTGTAGATTTGATCACTGAGCGTCAAACGAAAGACTTGCCAAGGTGTTGAACCCATCCAAGAGATACATTCCATCGCGAGCAGCTCAAAGGCTCCCTTAAGGAAGAAAACAGTTTTTGGGGGTTTGGGAGGAAGAGATGTCAGGACGCCAGCCCAGCTTGCAGTCGCCAGTGGCAACGATCGTCAGCGGCGGGAGCTCGGCCATCGATTAGTCGCGCCTCGCGGCTGGAGGAAGCCCTCCCGGAACGCGCGGCCGCCGAGGGGCGGCGGGAGCTCGCCGGTTCCGCGCTCCATTAGAGTGGCTGTCGCGGGTTCGGGCTACGGTCGGGCTGGGAGGGAAGATGGCGGCGGTGGCGGCGCGCGGCCCCGTGGGCAAGGGGCGCGACATCAGCCTGGCGGCCCTGCAGCGCCACGACCCCTACATCAACCGCATCGTGGACGTGGCCAGCCAGGTGGCTCTGTACACCTTCGGCCATCGGGCCAACGAGTGGGTGCGTGTGCACGCGGCGGGCCGTACGGCCGGCGGGCGGGGCGGGGCGGGGACGGGGTCGAATCCCCCACGGGGAGGGCCGCGCGCCCCGGAGGACGGAGGCGGAGGCGGACGGCGGTGGCTCGCGGGCACCAGGCTGAAGTTGGGGGGGTTGTACCCATGGCCCCGGGGCTTGGGGGAGAGGGAGGCCGACCGGGGAAACCATCGGAAACCGGGCAAGACTTAAATACCTGCGACCCCCGAGCTGGGAGACCCGACGGATGGGGACGGAGCGGAGAACCCGGGGGGAGGGACCCGGCGCCCTGCGGCCGAAGACTGGACTCGGCGGCAGCGGAAGAAGGTGGCCGTAGAGGAGGCGGAGAGATGGTTCGGTTCTAGAACTTCATTCGCTGCGGGGACCAGAGACCGAACCTTGACAGCAGGGCGAAATCTGAAACCCCGCACTCAGGGAATGCACCGAGGAAAGAGCGAACATCGGGAATAAAGGACTGAAGGGGAGGCTGGCTGTGTACTCCACAGCCCATCAAGACTCACAGTGCGTTAATGTTTGAGTCCACGTGGGAGCCAAAGGACTCTTGTCAAGCAAGAACACCAATAAAGAGCAGTAGAATGAACTTTAGTTTTTCTCACCATGAGAATCGGGTAGGAGCATAAGACACCTGAGCCCTCCAGCAGGTTACCAGAGGATTTTGAATGTAGAGAGACGGATTTTTTTTTTTCTCTTTCCCTCCTAGTGATCTTTCCAAATAATATTAATTTGTCAATTATATCACTCTCCATCCATTCCTTCCAAATAAGCTACAAAACAAAATTGAGCCTGGATGAATGGATTTCAGATTTGTAAAAAAATGTATTCTCCAAGAAGGTATCAAAAAATGTAAGCAAGAAAATATCCATATTGAACAAATTCATATATTTTTAAACACACTCATCTGAAAGTCACTGACAAAAGTAAAAAGGTAAAAAATTAAGTCTTAAAATGAGAGAAGAGCAGTTTTGCCCTGAATTCTTAACTAAGGATGTTTGTGAAATGGGTTTAGGGCTACTTTCCAAGTAGCCAAGACAATAACAACAATAATAATAATATAAAAATAAAGCATGAGAGCTCATTAATATTTATTGTTTTACAATAGGAAATCTATCATTTATTCAAAAGGTTCTGCCACCTGGGTCTTTATATAAAGGACATTAAGCAACATAATGGACAGTTTCATCAATGGCAACTTAAAAAAATGCCAGAGGCATAATGTCAATTCTGTCAACTTAAAAAACATGTTCTACTCTAGGCTATTATACTGCCCTACAGGAAAATGCCAGAGGCATAATGTTATAATTCTGTCAAGGTAATTCTATAGTACAGATAAGGATCAGGGATGCATAGTTCAGTAAACTGACTTGACACCAGGATTAGAGTCTGGAAAATCCTGAAACAGAGATCATTCCTCTTGAATAACAATTGTTTCCTAGAGGCTTTTCAGACAGATACCTATTAAAAAGAGTTACAGATGTTTATTAGATACCCAGTGAGACCCTTACACTAAAGCCTCATGAAAAGGTAGAAGAGTCATAATGTGTTATTTACAAGATTATGTTTATCCTGCTTCCTGGACTTGTTCCTTCAGACAGGGCACAATTCATTCTGTAAAAGGTCATTCTTTCAAAGTACTAATCTTCAAGGCTGTGTTAGCCAGAAAATAAGAGAGCCCCATTTAGCTGCAGAGCAGTTGCTAGGAGTAAACAAATTGTCACCATTGTATCCATATGCCATCACTCAGGCCTTTTGGATGGGAGCCTTTTGAATACAAACCTAGTGAACATGTAAAGAACATTCTTGAGAATGGAGGAGAAAGCATATGTAAGAAGGAATGAGGTGTGTAAAGGAAAGGAGTTCTTATTACACTGAGTCAGAGCAGAAAGAGGTAGGAAGAGGGAACAGAAATGAGCTGCTTAGAATTAAGGATATCACTGAAATAGAAATTTTAGAACTAAACCTACTTCCTACCATTAGGAAAAATACTTCCATATTGTGTGTGGAAAAATATAATCTTGGTGTTATTTCTCTCGGCCATGAGAGCAGTAATTCTTGAGTTGATTTGACAGTGTCTGGAGAAAATTTTGGTTGTCTTACTGAGAGAGGTGTTACTGTCATCAAGAGGGTAGATGCCAGGGATGCTGCTAAATATCCTACACAAATGCTGAGCTTGAGAAACTACCTTAGTGACTAGTGTCCTATTTTTTCTAGCTAGTAAGGGTTTCTGAGTTCTGTGTTATCACAATTTCTGGATATGAGGCCCAAGCATTTGATATTTGTTGATATTTTAGGTGATTTGGATGCTACATACTTGACTGAGAAAGACAGGTTTAGAGGGTAAATAGAGACCTATTTTTTCATTATTTTAACATAAAATAATCAGTAAGACACAGACTGCATTGAGTTTTTTCAAAGGAGTCAAATAGTGTAGTAAGTCCCAATAGTTTGTAAACTAACTCTATTTTTCCCATTGTATTATTTCAAACTTTGAACTGCTTAAGTTTTAGCATTTGTTGAATTATTTTTATATTAAATAATAATATTAAATCATTAAATTGTACTTGTTGCTAAGTAATTTACTCTTGATAGCAATTTGCTCTTAAAAATCAGTTTGATATAACTTGGACCATAGTGGATTTTGTTTTCATGACTCCTACTACAGTTTTGTGGACAGAGATTGTTATTGAATTAAGGCAGTGGTTCTCATATAGCATCAGAATCACCTGAAAGGCTTAATAAAAGAGACTGCTGGGTATCAGCCCCAGAGTTTCTGATTCTGTAAGTCTGGGGAGGGACCCAAGCATTTGCGTTTCTAACAAATTCTCAAGTGATGCTGCTGCTGCAGATGTAGGGACCCCCTGAACTGTGAGACTAAATTTTGTGACCCACTGAACTACAGTGACCAAGAAGATTGCTGAAATTACTTGAGCTTGTGAGAGGACCATGCTTCCAATTTTTTTCTGAGTGCCTTTTAGAAATTATAATTTTAACATTATACCTTTATTCTTAAAGAGTGTGGTTTTCACCAAAATTACAAAATACTTGCACTTTGAATGATTTTGGTAATGGATATTAATAAAATACTAAGGTTAAATAGAATTTTGAAATTAAGCCATGTAAATAGCAAATGTACATTTAAATTTTTGAATTATAACAGTCTGATCACTAGTTAATCAAACAAATGGGTACTTAAATACTTTTTATAATGTAATGTACTAATGAGCCTTTTTATCAGGAGATGGGATCCTGCCTTTGTTGAAATGGAAAAGAGCCTTTCTGAATGACCTAAAATTATATCATGTTAACTTTACCACTTCTCCAAGTTTTTCTTAGGCAAACTTCTTGAGTACTAGTTTGGTAATGTTTCTAACATAATTTCAGAAAATCGAAACTTAACTCTGGCCTGACCAGCAAGGCTCAGTGTCAACCTATGAACCAGGAAGTCACAGTTCAATTCTGGTCAGGACACATGACTGGGTTGCAGGCTTGATCCTCAGTGAGGGGCATGTAGGAGGCAGCCTACAAGTGATTCTCTCTTATCATTGATGTTCTATCTCTGTCCCTCTCCCTTCCTCTCTGAAATCAATAAAAACATTTTAAAAAAACAAACAGAAAAAAACAAAACCTTGGTTCTAATCCACCCCCAGTAGGTGATTGAAAACAATGGCATTGTTTCCGAAACCGGTTTGGCTCAGTGGTAGAGCGTCGGCCTGCGGACTGAAAGGTCCCGAGTTCGATTCCGGTCAAGGGCATGTACCTTGGTTGCGGGCACATGCCTGGTGGGGGGTGTGCAGGAGGCAGCTGGTCGATGTTTCTCTCTCATTGAGGTTTCTACCTCTCTATCTCTCTCCCTTCCTCTCTGTAAAAAATCAATAAAATATATTTAAAAAAAAAAAAAAGAAAACAATGGCATTGTTGTTGTTTTCTATGTAGTAGTCAAAGTAGAATTATTGGCAGATCATCTGTTCTCCTAGGTGACAGGATAGAGCAAGAGAAAATGAACCCAGAAAACAAAGAGGAGGGTAATGAGATGCATTCATTCATCAGTGATTTCTGCAGCTTGCCATAGAACCTGTTCACAGGGCAGAGGAAAGGCAACGCACTTATAACTCTTCTTTCTAATGAGATCCATGGAGCACTTTTATTGTTTCAGCCATCCCTGCATTTAGTAAAGGAAGATAATGATGGTTTATTTTGCAAAAGAAAAATTACTGCTTCCTGCTGCTTAATCAGCAAAGCTACAGCCAGGCAGAGAGCCTGCTTTTCTCCTTTCCTGAAGAAAAACCCCTCTTAAATTAGATGTTGCTTAGATTTGGTCCCACTTGAAACTGGGCACAATTCCTGGGTATAATTCTGTAAGAAGTTTATGTTCTTTAACTTCTGTGAATGTTTATTAATGAAGAGAATTACATATTTTGCTATTTGTTTTGTTTTTATGTTCTAGGAGAAGACTGATGTGGAAGGAACCTTATTTGTATACACAAGGTAAGAGTACTTTTAGAAAGAAACGGACAGTCATTCTTTGGTTGTAGTTTTATTTTTAAGACAAGTAAAAGAAGTGGCCATAGTTTGAAGTTTTTAGTTAACACAAGGGAATACTGAATAATGTAATGTCACATGGGTTAGTGTGACTATTTCAGAATATAATTTTAGAACATAATTTAAGTTTTCAGTATAGATGAACTTAAATTTATGTATTTTCTAAAAGTAGTATTAAATATTCTTTAGTTTAAAAAAATGGTACAAAGTTCTTGAATATAATGCATTAGCAAAGAGCTAGAGATACACTATTAAGAATATTAGATTATTTAATCAATATTTAGAAAGTGTCAGATGTTTATCTTTTAAATTTTTATTTTTTAATTACAGTTTACATTCATTTTGTATTAGTTTCAGATGTTCAGCATAGTGGTTAGATAATCATATACTTTACAAAGTATTTCCCCCAATATTTCTTATACTTAACAGGCGCCATACATTATTGTTACAATATTACTGACTATATTCCCTATGCTGTTCTTTATACGATACTGTTCTTTATGACTATTTTGTAACTACCAATTTATACTTATTAATCCCTTCACCTTTTTCACCCAGTCCTCCAACCTTCTGGCAACCATCTGTCAGTTCTTTGTATCTCTGAGTCTGTTCCTGGTTTTTTTTTTGTTGTTGTTCATTTATAGTGTTCTTTAGATTCCATATATAAGTGAAATCATATAGTATTTGTCTAAATATTCCACACCCAATAGGGTTTTATTGCTGTCTCCCCTACCACCTTTGACTGTTTAAAGAAGCATGATCCAAAACTAAAGATGTCTGAGTCCTCCATTATTTAATTAATAGAATACGTTTCAGGATAGATTTAATACACTATTTTGTGAATAAATTTACTAAGTTCATGTTATTAATAATTTATATCAAATATTGAAAGTGAAAGGGAGGGATGTAAAGAGAGAGCGAGAAACATTGACGTGAGAGAGACTCATCCTTTGCCTTTCTCACTTGTCCAGCTGGGGTGGGGATCAAACATGCAACCAAGGTATGACTTCTTGACCAGGAATTGAGCCTGCAACTCTAGTGCTCCAGCCGACACACCAACCACTGAGCAACATCAGTCAGGGCTGTATTAACCCTTTTAGGGCTAACAGTTTCATTGTGGGCACAGAAAATATACACACACAAGTATATATTTTTCACACATGCACTCACATTTAAAGATAAACCACAATGTAGACAGATTACCCAAAGTGCCAGTTGATAGGTTATAGGCAATGAATGGGCATTTATAGAGTGGTGAGTCCTGAGTCAGCCTCAGGAATACAGATAGATCTTAACATGCTTAAGGGAGAGGGAAGGGCAGTCTCAACAGCAACAATGGCATAAGCAGAGACATGAAACCTATTATAGTGATAAAGGGACAGTAAGGGAAATAACTCTGGTGCAGAGTTTACATTGGCTTATATTAGTAAGAAGTTAACAGTAAGAGTAAAGCAATTTTGCTGCCTTGGTATGTCAGACTAAGGATTTTGAAATTTATTTTCTTAGCAGTATGGAGCCACTGAAGGTCTATGAACAAAGGAATATCGATAATAGAATTATAACCAAATGTGTGAGGAAAGTCGGCGTCGGCATCATGAGGATGTGTTGGCTCTAGAATAAATGGGAGCAGGATATTGAGTAGATATGTGCAGTGGAGATGAGATGATGAGAGTGGACAAGAGGGATGGAAGTTGAAATGGAAAGGATTTATTGAAATAATGTGTGTATAGAGGGAATGGTAACATTTTAAAAATAACAGTAAGATTTTGGAATGGAAGACTGAGAGAATGACAATTATTGATGGAATGGAAAAATAGATAAAGAATCTGGTTTGAAGAAAATTTCTTTTGAAATAATGATTTTGAAGTGATAGCAAGGTATTCAGATAGAAATGTTCAGTCACTCAAGTGGGATCAGAGCTGGAATGCAGAGTTTGGAGACATCTGCATTAATTTGATCACTGAAACCATGAGAGAAAGTAGGTTCTTTGAAGGAGAAAGAGGAAACTGAGAAAAACTAATGGTTGGTTTTAGAGCCTGCAGGATACAGAGAAAAGTCAGCCATAAAGGTAAAAGCAGAGCGAACAATACAAAGAGGCCAGTTGTGGGCATAGCCAGGAACAGTGTGAGTCTGTGTGTAGGTGGAAGCAGAAGTGGGAGTGGGAAGAAAGGCCTGGATGGGCAAGGCCATCAGAACAGGTAAGGAGATTAGTTTATTCAGTTTCAGAAAAGCTGTGGGAGTGCTCAAGAGTCGTTGGCTATAGTAGTTTACACTGTGTTCCAAACATTCCGAAAGCATGGGAGCACACCACCAAGTGAGCTTGTTCAGGAAAGACTACTCTTAAGAATTCTGAAGAATGAAAAGAAAAGCAAGTGATTGAACTTTACTGTATGCCAAGCACACAATATGCATTCTCATTCATTTCTGAAAATAAGTATTATTATTTTAAGAAGATATATTAATATGTGTTAATGGTTTATTTTGTGGGGTGGACTTTTAGTAGGGTTATTTTTTTTTAGTGTACCCAAACCAAATATAAGGTTGTGTTTTCAAGTACTTCTTAATTTGAGTTCTTACTGGATCTGTCAGTTAAAAAAAAATACATTAAATTGGGAAACAAATCCTTCCTTATCTAATAAAAGAGTAATATGCAAATTGATTGTCATACCAATACACAAGATGGCCACCACAAGATGGCTGGCAGGGGAGGGCAGTTGTGGGCAGTTGGGGGTGACCAGGCCAGCAAGGGAAAGCAGTTAGAGGGGACTCAGGCCTGCAGTGTTGAGCAGTTTGGTGTGGAAACGGGCCTGCAGTGGAGGACATTTGGGTGGCGGACCAGGCCTGCAGTGGAGAACATTTAGGGGGAGACCAGGCCTGTAGTGGAGGGCATTTGGGGGGAACCAGGCCTGGAGGGGAGGGCAGTTAGGGGTGATCAGGCCAGCAGGGAAGGCAATTAGGGGTGACAAGGCCAGCAGGGGAGGACAGTTGGGGTTGCAGGGAAGAGCATCCCTCAAGGGATCCCCAATTGAAGAGGGTGCAGGCTGGGCTGAGGGACCTCCCCGCCTTCCCCACCCCCACCCCCCAGTGCACTGGGCCTCTAGTATCTTTATATCTTAATCTCTTCTTCAAATATTACTCCTCATTAATAGGAGTTTCTTTCCCCTACCATCTTCCCCAAGATCCCCCCAGCCCCAGTGCCAGTTTCTAGATATTGAGGTCTTTCCTCTGCAGAGAATGACAGAAAGCTTATAAAAATCAAAAGGGAGTTTTGGGTACAGGTAATGGAGCTGCCAGTGATATTTTTTGCTCTGTATCCAGACTGAGAGGTTAATGAAATACTTGAAGAGTCAATATGTTTATGTGTAAAAATACCTAATCTTATTTTTAAAAAATTTTGTCTTCTTTTTCTCTCATGTTTTCTTTCTTTCTTTCTTTCTTTCTTTCTTTCTTTCTTTCTTTCTTTCTTTCTTTCTTTCTTTCTTTCTTTCTTTCTTTCTTTCTTTCTTTCTTTCTTTCTTTCTTTCTTTCTTTCTTTCTTTCTTTCTTTCTTTCTTTCTTTCTTTCTTTCTTTCTTTCTTTCTTTCTTTCTTTTTTTTTTTTTAAATAGAGAACCCACTGGTGATTTCTGAACTTAACACTTCTAAAAGACTCTGTCAGAGATCTTTGGAAGTCAATTTTCATTCTTCGTCAGAATTTAAGTTGAAATGATTATCATGATTATGTCTGGTTTTGATTATAGGCCTAACACCACTTTACTTCTTTGTAAAATGAATTAGACAAGGATTGGCTTCCATTAATTTTTAAAATTGGAGGGCTCAAAAGGAAATGCTGTATTTTACTTCTTCATCATTATCAAATCAGATATCAAGCTTATATCAAACTAAGATATAAATACCTTGTTACTCATAACACTTCTGTGGGTTTGTTAACGCCGGTGCTCTAGTTTAAAGTAAATAAATGAATTCTGCTTTCACTTTCAGTTTGTAAGCATGTGCCGTTTCATTTGTCACAGAAGCTGCATAGTTGAATTGCTATATGGCTGTCACCCAAGGTTAGATAAATGCAAGTGTAGTTATTAGAGTTTATACTCTGTATAACTTGGGTTCATTCTGCCTAACAGAGAGTAGGCACTGAAGGTTTATTAAATAAAAATAAAAAGTCACTATCTGCCACATTTTTATACAGAAAAACTCTATAGTAATTTATCTATAAAGCTATTTGCTTTAAAGAGAACAATAGATCACTTTGTACATTAAATTCTATAAACTTTTAATTATACTGTTTTTCCTTGCCAGTTTATTGACCAGAGTTGCATCATTTCTTTAAAAAGTTTCACTGCTTTTAATTTCAGACCAACACTAAGATTTTCTGTGAAAATTTTCTTTATGTAATTGTGATATACACTCTTTATTAACTATCATGTAATTATCATCTCCTCCTTAAAGGAATTTATAATCTAGTTAGGGAAACAAAATATATGTAGTTAAACTAGAGGCCCAGTGCACAAAATTCATGCATGGCGGGGCAGTGTCCCTCTGCCCAGCCTGCACCCTCTCCAATCTGGGACATCCTTCTCACAATCCAGGACTCCTGGATCCCAACTGCTCACTGTCATGCTTGCCTGATTGCCCCTAACCACTTCTGCCTGCCAGTCTGATCACTCCCCTGCCAGACTGAGTGATGCCTAACTGCTCCCCTGCCAACCCGATTGTTCTTAACTGCCCTCTCCTGTTGGCCTGGTCACCCCTAACTGCCCTCTGCTTGCCCGGTCACCCCTAATTGCCTTCTCCTGCAGGCCTGATCCCCCCAAAGTCCCTTCCCCTGCTGGCCTGATCATCCACAACTGCCCTCTCCTGTGGTGGACATCTTAGACCACATGGGAGTGGCCATCTTGTGTGTTGGAGTGATGATCAATTTGCATATTATCTCTTTATTAAATAGGATAAGTAGAATTTTATTTTACCAAAGGATTGGTAATGAGAGTCATGCTGCATGTGTTATGTAAATTAATACCTTAGTGCTATTAGCTACTATAATAGTAAAGAATCATTGCTGTACATCTTTTTGCACAAAGCTATTTAGACTTACAAAAAAATCAAAGGCGCATTTGGAATGTAGTTATACTAAAAATACCTATACTATACTGAACAACTTGTCTTTTGATGTTCTCCCCAACCCTTGTGATTCTTAGGTCTGCTTCTCCAAAACATGGGTTCACCATTATGAATAGGCTGAGCATGGAAAATAGGACAGAACCCATTACTAAAGACCTGGATTTCCAGCTCCAGGACCCTTTCCTTCTCTACAGAAATGCCAGATGTGAGTTTTTCTTAATGAATGGATGGTTTTATTTCGGCAGTTTTTCCAAGTTTTTAAAATTGTACAGTGTATGTACACTGTACAATTGATTCTAGGGGTCAGGATTGGTTAGCTTGAGAAATGCATGACCACTTTCTTCCTTGGGAAAGTTTACAGGAAAACATTGTGAATATAATGATGTAAGTATTCAAACCCTGTCTTCAGCAATGAGACCACTTTGCAGTGTGAACCCATGGGGGTTTCTAAACCTGATCAGTGCTGGTGAAGAGTTTTGGGTCAGGAGACTACAGAGGGGCACCTAGGTGGTGCTGTAGGCCATAGAATGAATGATTCAGCTGGTGGCACTTTTTCGCGTGTGAGCCTTCTGATATTATGCTTGGGGGAGAGGACTAATATTCTAAAATTGCCATCTTTTGAATATATAGCAAAGTCTATAGAATTTTAGTCATTAAGAATTTCATAAGACTTTATAATGTTGAAGTCTTAGGTAGCTATGTGGTCCTCTACCAGATTTGAAATGAGGTAGAAATTGCCTATCAATATTCTGCTTATTTTACTCATGCATTTTATCTGACCACTTGTGTTGGACTATTGGACAGCCCAGAGAAAAATTGATGGAAAATATATAAACTGCAAGAGCATCTATGTTTGTGCATGCCCATGCTCTGTGCTTGTAAATACCTTTCAGAAAGACCTTGCAGTTAAATGTTTTTCATTCATTTTCCACCCTGCTTTTTGAGCTCAAGATATAAGAATTTGCCACTATATACTATTCAGTGTAATCTTAATAAGGAATGTAATACAAGTGATATTTGATGTTATAACTCCAATGAATTGTTTTGAAATAAATATAACATCCTTTTAATGCTATATTTACTTATAATTATATGCATATAAGTTATAAGTGGTCATCCTATTATTTAGAGAATATGAGTAAATTTTCATGAGAAAAAAATGAAAGCTATTAATGACTTACTAATGATAGGTCCTGTGAGTGAAATATTTAGTAAAATAGATAAATATTTTATTTTCTATTCCTATTTCTTTGCTAGAAGATGTAGTTTCATCAGTTGTAGCTTGTAGTTTGAGTTATTTGTATAGTAACATTAGGTTTTATTTTATTTTTTGAGATTATTAGATTCTATGTTAAATAATATATAATTTAAATACTAATAATATAGCCATATAAATAAATATAAAATAAATTAATATTAATGACTTACAGTAATCATTTTTGGTAGCTCTTACTTTGTATAAATGCTTAGTCTAGTTAGTACAGATACTATTTTAAGTTCTTATTATAATATTATGCATCACATATTATGTACAAAAATATAAGAAATATAAACTCTTTAATATGGTTAATTTTAAAATTGACTTTCCTAAGTTCCAGAGGATTTATCTGATAGGTAATACTATTTGAATCTAACCTCATCTAACAAGGTGAGGTTTAATATAATGTTTATTTGAATCTAATAAACATTATATTAAACCTCACCTTGTTCCAGGCCAATGCTAATATGGTAGTCTAACTGCATGTGGCTGTTGAATACTTGAAATGTGGCTTAGTCTGAATAGAGCTGTGCTATGAGTGTGAAATACACATTGATTTTCAAAGACAATACAAAAAAATGTAAAAAAAATTCTCAATTTTATATTGATTTAACTGTTGAAATGATAATACTTTAAATATGTTGAGGTAAATAAAATGTTATTAAAATTAATTTCACCTGCTTTTTAGTTTTTTATTTAAAATTACATATATGGTTCACATTGTGGTTCACCTTACATTTCTATTGAATGGCAATGACCTCATCATTTTCATTTCTTTACTATATTTTATAATCACAACTTTGTAGGATAGACATTTTCACTGCCATTTTGCAAATGAGCAAACTGAAGTTCAGTGAGGTAACAGACTTGACAGGTATTCACAGATTCTAATTTCTCTTAACTTTTTCTTAGAAATACTAATATTTATGTTTTATAAAAATGAAAAACTGAGGTTAAAGGAGTTAAGTAATTTATCATGGCCCATGACTATTTGGAAATGGAAACAGCATTGAACCGAGAAAGCCTAACTTCAAAAGCTCAGGCCTGCCCAGCCATGGGTCAGTGCTTGAGTATTGACCCATGTACCAGGAGGTTGCTGGTTTTCTTCCCAGTCAGGGCACATTGATCCTCAGTAGGGAGTGTGTGATCCTCAGTAGGGAGTGTGTGAAGCAGCCAATCAATGTTTCTCTTTCATTGATGTTTATATATATCTCCCTTGTCTATCTCCGGTCTTAAAAAATCAATAAAAACATATATAAAAAAAAAAAAAAAAAAAAAAAAGCTCAGGCCCAAGCAGTGAAAGTACTAACACATGAATGATGTATTGAGCAAGGTTTACTTCTCACAAAAATACTTAATCTTTTTATTATAAACTCCAATGTTTAAAAAACAAGTTTCTGTTTTAAAGAGTTAAGTATCTGTTGTATTCCAGTTATTAGAGAGGAGACTATCAAATAAAAACTAATATAACAAAAAGCTGAATTTGACCATTTCTTTCATATTATTCCCTTTAGTAACCTTTACTATGTTTTCCATTTCATATCTAAGTAAGATTTTGGTATATGGAGATATATTTTAAAAATGTATTTTCCCAAATATATAATAATATTTAAGATAATTTACAGACAATAATGACAGTTAGATTTCAGAGCTAGGCCAACAGCTTGAATTATTATTGTCTATGCTAAGAAATTCTTTTGAGATGCTTGCTTTTATTGAAGACATAAGACTGGAGATCAAAGCAAATTATAAAGCAAAATCAAGATATTTAGGATCAAATGAATTTTAGAAAATTCCTTAGTTTCAAAGTGAATTTACTTTGTTTTGGTAGTTTTGTATTAAAAAAGAAATACAATTTAAATTATTTATTGATATTTGTAGGATCTGGGAAAATTTTCTAAATAATGGGAAATGGTACACTGAATGGAAGTGAGATACAAGCAGTTGTTATCTTTCAAATAATCCATGGTCTAGAAGTTCCCTTTTAAAGTGATCGGTGGGCCAAAACCGGTTTGGCTCAGTGGTAGAGCATTGGTCTGCGGACTGAAAGGTCCCAGGTTCGATTCCAGTCAAGGACATGTACATTGGTTGCAGGAACATCCCCAGTAGTGGGTATGCAAGAGGCAGCTGGTTGATGTTTCTCTCTCATCGACGTTTCTAGCTCTCTATCTCTCTTCCTTCTTCCTCTCTGTAAAATATCAATAAAATATATTAAAAAATTAAAAAATAAAGTGATTGGTGGTATTTTAGTTACAGGCAGTAGATTAAACACATTCCTGAAACTATAAAAATGACAATAAAGGGGGGGAAAGATATAAACCCACAAGAGTGTTGGATGTATTTTATGAAAAAGATTGAGTAGACGAGAGAAGAAAACATGCTATGATAGCTATATTATTCATAATTATTAACTTTGTCTCCTTACAGGAGATTATATCTCTGTCTGTTCATGTCAGATTTGATTATATACTTTGGTTCCCCCTCAACCCCTCCACCCACACTGACCCCTCCAGAAGGTTATTATGTGGTCACCTGTTGAACTCAAATAAGAATGAATTGCTTTGACCAATGAAATGTGGGTAAGAGTTATATATGTCACTTATGAGCACATACTTTAACAACTAGCTCATGATTCATCATGTCTCTTTTCCTTCTGCTATGATAACTAACAGTATTCTAGGCAGAGGCTGCTCTGTCAGCCTGCATCCTGAAATGAAAATAACATGGTACAGAGGTAAAAGCAACCCATGATCAACATGTAATGTGTATGAGAAATAAACCTTTGTCATTGTAAGCCTTTGAGATTGTGGAGTTATTTGTTACTGCAGCATAACTTGGGCTACTGTGATGGTTGCACAAGCCATCAAAGAAAAAAGAGATCCAAACACAGAATGGAAGTAAAGGAATCTTGAGAACTATGATAAAGAGGAATCCCATAATGACTCCAATGCAATTAAACTAAAGATCATTCAGGCCAAATTAAAGTAAAAGGATAGAAGTCTTCAGGATGAATGTCCAAGGAAAATTTTATAACTGGTAGTATGAATCTGTTGAAACATTTATAGTTCCTTTTAAGTTTGATGATATAGGAACATTGAAAAATGTGGGGGTGGGAGGAACAGTAACAAAATGAAACAATTCTTAATTCCTGGGAAAACAAAATATTGTATAAGAAAGGAAATGTAATAGTCTACCATATGGTTCTGCAGATCATAATACTTAATTAAATTATAAGCACTGAATATGAAATTGTATTATACTGGAAGGGTGTGTGTTTGTGAGAGTGTGTGTATATTGTCAGAGAACTAAATTCTCAATAGATTTTAAAAATCAAGAAGTAGTGTGGGCATGCTATATAGTAAAAGATTTAAATGTCAGGAGAAAAGTTGGACAAGAAATAAATGAAGAACAAAAACAACTTATGGTTAGAATTAAGATTGTTTTGGAGGAACAGTAATGGCTAGGGAAGAGTTCTCTATCAAATCTTATAGTGTTTGATTTTAACTTATGTACATGTATTATTTTGATAAAGATAAAAATTAAAAATATAATTGGATATCATTGCATTCATAAAAGCAATTTTTTAATTGGTGATTAGGTTTTTAAGTCAACTCACAAGAGCCTTTCTAGCCCATTGTATACTTACCTAAAAGTAGCACACTAACATTATAATGATGTACCTATGAAATATACTGGTAGCATTAGTGTGTATAGCATTATTTCTGTAGGAAAATTCATTTAAGAATAAAACTTGGGTAGATCCCCAATAGCATAACATCCTTAGCAGCAGGGCAGAGGACTTGTATTGCCCATTTATAGTAACAGATCATTTATAAAGCTAGATGTTCCTATAAATTATATGATCATAGTAATGTAAACTTTGAAGCCTTTACAGTCTATTGCTAAGCCTTAGTTCTATTTGGTTGTGCATTTCTGTATTGCTCTCC